CTGCAGTACAATCCGTATCGGCAACTACGCATAGCTATACTATATAACCTACTGTTTCAGCCGATGGTAGATTATTATCGCCTCTTTTTATTGTACTGAAAGAAGTTAGTGGAACATTTGGTCCCAGAGTGCAAGAAACAATGTTTAAGGCACCTAATATTTTTGTTACGGCTTCGAAATCCGGAAAATTAACAGCGCATCATTTTAAAATTTGGTTGCAAGACGTACTTTTTCCAAATGTAGGTCCAAAATCTGTTTTACTACTAGATTCATGGACTAAACTTTGGTCATTGTCCAAATATTATTCAAGAATCTAAACCAGAATCTACAGAAGATATTATTTTGTTGACTATACCAGCTGGAACAACAGGAAAAATACAACCATTGGATGTATATAGTTTTCGTTTGTGGAAGAATTTTATTAGACACTTTTCTGATACTGTAATGCTTTTAGGTCTGGAAGTCAATCTGCATGCAAGAAACATCATTTTAAAATTACAGTCATTGACTCATAATCAATTTTCATCGCCAAGATTCAGAAATTTATTGAAATACGCATGGTATAAAAGCGGGTACGTAATAAATAAGCCCGAAGAATTCGAAACACCAGTGGAATTTTGTTTCCATAAACAGTCAAAATCAACATGCGATATTTGTGGCGCACCTGCAATAATTACTTGCGCATGGTGCAAAAAGTCACTTTGTATAAATCACTTTTTTCACGAACATCACCTTTGTGATACATTTGTTCCATCAATTCATCTGTTTTTAATATATGTATGTTAATATATGTATTATATTCAATATATGTAGTATGTTATTGTTGAAGGTAAAGTTGTAATTGTTTCGACATATATTATTATAAAAGAAATAAAATAATATACAAACAAATGTTTCTAGTATTGATTAATAGAAAAACCTGAAATTAATTGGAATTTTTTGCATTACCATTGAAAAACAATAAATTGCATTTTAATTGTAAGATTTTTATTTATTTATTTCTCTTTCGATATAATCCACTCTTAAAAAAGGCATGAAAGATCGATACTCGAATGTATCGAAAGTATTGTTGACGCTTATCCGCGACGCTGATTGGTTATCTCGATTATTCTGACAGTTTGATAGTTTGAGAGCAAAGATTATTTTGACGGTTATTTAAAATTTTAAAAATTTTATTAAAATATTTAGATTTTATAATTATTAAATTATTATAATAAGTGTACGGGCGCAGCGCGCGCTTGTATTGTTCTAGTATAACTATAAAAGTGTAATATAGAGGAGATGCCTTGGCAACAACTTTAGTGAACTTTGTTCTTTGATCACAACATTTTTCCGAATATTTCATAACATGCTAATCTTTATTTCTAATTTTATTCGTCTTATCAATTACACATGCGCGACAAACATCGATTACACAAGCGGCACAAACGATGCGTTATGCATATATATGCATATATCGCAGCGCGACGCATATAGTGCGACATTGACAGCTCATTTCTGAAAAATGCGATTTTGAAACATAATAAAATCATATATGGTTGTATTCAGCGTAAAAAATGCTACAACTTTTGTCATAACAAAAATTTTGAAATTCGTAAAAATAATAAGAAAGGGTGAGGGTAAATTAAAAAATATAAAATTTTTTAAAAATCGAGCTACGCGGTTATAAAGCTCATAAAAGACCATGCAACTTTTATTCGAAACATTTTTTGATATCTCTTACAGTTTTGACAATATTCAGTCAAAACCAAAAAAACCGTTTTAGCTTGTAGGGGTTGTTTCAACCCTAAACGTGCGAGAAAGCACATAAAAAAAAATACGTGTCTCTTACTTTGAGCTACTTTACAACATATTTAAAGTTCGTTAAAATCGGAGGGGGACACTTGGGTCCCTTTCCTTGTCAGTGAGCAAAATATTAGCAATATGCCAGCAGTGCGGCAGCAGAAACGCAGCAAACGAGCAGAAACGAAATCGAGCATGATCTGTCGTCACGATGTGAAAAAATTTGTACTATGAAAATGCTAAAAACCCGATAAGTATTTGATTCTTAATATATATCTGTGGCTAGATAAAAGAAGTGACAATGTCAATATTCATCAACTTGAGATATGTCTGCTAGAGATATGTCAGTTAAAAATTTTTTTAGTTTATGATTAAATAACTTGATGTATAAGTGGAAGCTGTTACCTTTATTTTTATTTAGATTTTGACATTACTATTTCTTGCACACAATATACAAGAGTTTTCAAACACATTTCTAATCTTGGTTTATTTAAGCAGAAATTTGATATTGGCACTTCTTGTACCAAGCCATAGATATATATTATATATGTAACAATATTATGAAATACTATACTTATACTTATATTATACGTATATCATTCATTAAATACATGTATTTAATGATATTACTACGTATAATTTAATACTATTATTATGTATAATTATATATACTTATTTATCAGAATATTGCATGTGACTCTTGAATGTGACACAAAATTATTACCTCCTTTACCTCTGATGACTATAGAAGATTATTCCAAATTTGGAGAGGAGTTTCAACAAGACAGGGAAATCAGAAAACAGTTTGTAAGTTTTTTATTCAATGTTGCTATAAAACTGAACTATCATGGCGCATTTCAATGTATAGAATTTAGTGTCCTATCTGGATAAATTAACTCAGATAGAAATATTTTGCTGAAAATATTATGAAATTAATGAAAAGCAAAATAAAAATTTTTGAAAAATTACTGAATATATTTCAAAATAAATCATAATTTTTCGCATGAAAATTTAATGTAATACTATGAAATATAAAGAAAGTTAAAATATACTGCTGAAAAGTAATAAAAGAGTTTTGAAATAATTATCATTATGAAATTTACTGAATTAAACTGAAAACTGTTATTTTTTAATGACAAATTGCTGAAATATTTTTAAAATTAATTAATGGGGTCAATTGAGAGAAATTTTCAAATACATTTCAGCAAAATTTCGTTATATTTTCAGAAAAAATTTCCATCAGAGAATCACTATTTTACATCTGGTTTTTATGTTGCAGAAAAAGAAAATTTCAACAATTGAAGGAACTACATATGCTAATCAGACGAGAAATATTCTGAAATTTATTTTAGATGATAACGTTTCCAAAAAATAGTCGTGAACAGGAAAAAAACAATCAACACCATCGAAAAACACAACATTTGCTAGTGTTATTATAGGTAATTCAAAACAAAAATATTATAAACATAAGTTTAAAAAGTATGTTATAATTAACATAATAAATTAGTTACTTTTTTAAAAATAAATTTCAATTATGAAAAACAAATCAATATATGCAATTGTTAGATCAATCTAACAATTTAAATGCAACAATTGTTACATTTAATTCTTTATATTTTAACAACAGTTTTTAATATTAAAGTATAAAAGAATTGTAATTTAAACATAATTTTGTAATTATTTCAGATTACATTTCTACGGTAGAAAATTGCAGTTTTCATCAGGTGCAGAAAGTTATCCAGGAATGGTTCGGTACGCAAGAGATCGCCTCCATTATTTATTGAAAAAAGTAACATAAATAAGTAATATTACAAATATACATATGTATATTTAGATTTTATATTTTAACAATATATCTTAATATAGTTTATATAAGAAGTATTATGTAAAAGTATTATGTTTAAAAGTGTTATGTAAAGAAATATTAATAATAAAATATTAATAACAAGTTAAAAATATTCTAAAATAATTACTCAAGTAGCAAATGATCGTCATCTAATGTTTTTTATCATTATAATTGATTATTATATTATATAATAACTAATAACGCTTTTCTTAATATCTAGCACGCAGGTTTTTTATTCTATTACTATAATATTATAAGCCTATTTGTGGCAAGAACTCAAAGCAAAAAGGGAAATTTTTCTAATAATTATTGATTGAAGGCGACACGATTGTCGCCACCGTTTCTAATTTTTGAGCATGCCCGAGCTGGCATAATAAGCCCAATAAATCTTGCATATAATCATTTCCCGGAGTCTGTATCTGTAGTTTTACGAACGCTGATTCCCCGTGTACAGGTTTAACTATGCGAAATTCCCCTTCTTGTTGTTCTGCCAATATTTTTGTTAGGGCCATAGTTTTACGAGACCACATGTCGCCGCGGGTGGTGGGTCCGGCGTAGGCTAATCCGCAAGGGATGGCCTGCCAGCCCATCCTTTTGAACTGGTCTTCCAAAATATAGAGGTCATTCCTGGGGCATCGGATCAAGTGGCCCCAGTCACGCAGCGCGATTTGTACCGTCTGGTCCTCGTTGAGGCGAATGACAACGCCCCGTTGCCATCCCTTTTTAGTTTCCACTGCAAGTTGAATTCCCTCTTTAATTGTAGCCAGATACAATAATTTATTTTTTCTGCGGTTCATATATTCATTCAGGTCTTCCAGCATCTCGGTAAATTGCGTCATGGTGTGCAATAAATGCACCCAGAACATGGTGGGTGATACCGCTCGTACCACCCGAACCATCATGGACGAGCGGGATAACAAGCTCGTATTCGAGCTTTCAATTTCCATTGTTTCTGAAAGGTAAAGAAAATGTCGTTATATAGATTGCATTATTCTTTGTCCGGGTCTTCTTGTTGTGCTGGTTTGTTGCGTCCCTCTTTTTTTTTTATTAGGAATTAATAAGAAACTTTCCTGTTTTACTATTATTTGTTTGATATTGGTTTGATGTGTGAAATTCACAATCTATTAGGGTGCACGACCCGACTATTCTTTTTTATTTTGATTCTTACGTTGTTTCTGTTAAATATTTCTAAGACCTCGTGGGACCTTGTATATTGATCTCCAAATTTGCCAGGTTTAGGGCCTTTTAATAGAAATACTTGATCGCCCGGTTTGAAAGTTTACAGATTAATCTTTCTGTCATAATGTCTTTCAGATTTGATTTTTGATTCTATTACATTTTTACGTGCATTATTCTGAATGGTATGTAGTTGGGTAACTAAATTTATAAGATTTGTCGTAGCTTGCTAGTTTGTCATCTGGTGCCAAAGGTTCGTTCGACGGGATTCGAGCTATTTTGCCGAATATTAATTCGTATGGCGTTTATTTGGTCGCTTCGTGTACGCTCGTGTTATAATTAAACATCGCGAGACCGATCCATCTATCCCATTGTTTTTGTTCGTTTGCGTATGGTTTTAAATATTCGCCAAGTGCGTGGTGTGATCTTTCTAATGAGCCGTTTGATTGTGGGTGGAACACAATGGTGCGGAATTTACGGATTTTAAATAGTTTTGCTATTTTTCTCATTAAATCGCTAATAAAATTTCTACCTTGATCTGTCAAGATTGCCTTTGGTGCTCCAAGCACACAAATAAATCGATCAACAAAAGTTTCGGCTACCGTTTCAGCAGTTTGATTTGATAGCGGTATTCCCATGCAAAATGTAGTGAGTTGATCTTGTAATGTTAAAATCTATTCTCACAAAAAACCTTTCCAAAAAAATTGTACTTTTAAAAAAGTTGTATATATTAAATAAAAATTTGCTACATATTCTGTCTATAAAAGAGGTGATATCAGAAAATGACGCCAAGTTTAAGTAAAGAACCTTTCAAAAAAAGTTGCATGTATATCTAATTATTTATTTAAAAATGATATTTATGTTTATATCTAGTTAATTCTTCTTAAGTATACTTTTTAAAATAATTGCATCTGTATCTAGTTATTTTTTTTATATCTGTATCTAGTTAAATAAAAATTTTCAAATTTAATCAAAATAAAAATATTACAAAATTTC